GTTTATTGAAATACTTGATCCCCAATTCATAGAGAAAAGGAAAGATCACATAAAAATAAAATCTTATAAATTTTGTCAAAATTCAATGGGATTCGGGTTTTTCAAATTGAGGTAGGATTTCATCCCTATAAAAAGATCCCAAATCTATAATCAAAGACACACAAGCAATAAGCAATCAATATAGCCAGCAAACTCAAGTAGCTAAAGCAAAATTTTTACGGGTTTGGTTCTGGGTTCTTGGGACTCAAAATATTTTTTGATGTTGGCCTTTTTTGGTTCAATTTTTTAAGAATTGGGGTTATGTTGAAGTTGTTGTGTTTACGGGATTTTAGGTAATTCTTAAAGTTTGTCTTTTTTTTTTTTTTTGAAAGCCTTGACCCGAAGCAGATCTGTGCATCAACCTGCTTTGGATCTGGCCCAACTAGTAAATTTTCATTTTTCTTTTTCTTTTTGATTTTTATTTTATTTTTTGTTTTTACTATTTTATTATTTATTATTATTATTGAGTTAAAAGTGATGAAGAAGAGAAAAAAAATTGGTAGGATTTTTATAGTTTATTTATTTGCATGATTTATTTTATGATAATTATATGGATGATTTTTATGATATTTAATTGCATGAATTTATTATGATATTTGTCATGAATGATTATAATATATATTTGCATGATATTTTATGTTGACTTAATTTATTTGTATGATTTATTACATAATATTGCATGGGTTTTTATTACAATGATTTGCTTGCATAATATTTTTGCATGATTTTTGTTTTATATTTATTGCATGATATTCTTGCATGATTTTGGTATGATTTTTACTATAATATTTAGGCATGATTTTTATTAAGATATTTACATGATTTATTTACATATTTTGATTGTGATATTATTACATGATTTTTTTTAAAAGAATTTTGTATGGCGTTATTTTGTAAATAAATGAAAGGAATTGAAATTTAATTTTAATAAAATATTAATATCCAATAACATAATCTCTTCAAGTGAATAACAAGTTTATCTTAAATATTCTTAAAATGAAGAAAATTTTTTTTATTGAAAGTCTAAAACCATTTTTTCAATATTTATATATCAAAATTCATAAAAAAAGTAATTTTTGATTAAGTCTTAAACAAGATAACACGTAATTAATTTGATACAAATTTGTGGAAAAGAAAAAACATAAAAGAAATAAATAATAAATATTTACAGTTGCTGATTCAATTCAATGAATTAGACTTACTGAATAAAAAATAGAAATTTATTAATTTTTTTTTTCATAAACAAAAAACAAGGAATAGAACACTTCAATAACCACTAAATATAATGCAAAAACAAATAACTGCGTAAAAAATACCAAAGTCCAACAAAAACTCAAAACAGGTTCTGAAAATTATTACCAAACATACCATTAATTTAATATTCAAAGAAGCAATGAATTCAATTTTAGTATCTTCACTTGGAGGAGGTAGTGGGTCAAGATCTGAGACCTCGGCAAGAGCTGATTTTAAAACAAAACTTCTTTTCTTTTGAGGATGCCAGTTAACTTTAACAAGAAAAGGAAATCCTTTTTGTAGATTGAGAGAGAATGTCGAATACCATAGGGGATATACGTGGAGTTTACCCTAAAATTAAAACATGTAAAATTAAAAAATAGAAAGACCATTTAGTCAAGACATTTTAGGATGACTTAAAATTATTTGATATCATATTTTAGATGGTTGTTGTAGGAGCGTTAAAACTTTCTTCATACGAAATTAAATTTTCGAACTTAATCATTTGATTAGTAGATCAAAATCTATTATTTTTAGGCATTTTTAATCAATTTTAAAATTTCTTTAAAAAAAAATAAATTTACTTAAGTGTTTAATCACACCTAATTAAAAATAATGATGATTACATACTTTGAGTCTAATGGACGAGTTCTCAGACTTATACATTAGAAGACATTATAAATTTAACAAAAAAATTATTAAAACCGGTAAACATCTTTCATATGGTCTCAGTCTCACCCCTCCTTTTCTGACCTTCATTATCAAGGAGGAAGAACCTGAATTTGCCTTGGCTTCCAGTGCTTCCCTATAGAGTATAGTATAAGGATGTTGATCCTCGATCATGCCAATGACTCGGTCTCTCGTGGAACAATTTAAAGACGTTTACTTCGGGAGTCTAAGACTCGGTCTTTTGTGGAACAGTTTAAAGACGTGTATTTCGGGAGTCTAAGTCTCTTTTCTATCTTTATTTGAAGTGGTGTATCTTTCAAACAGGATAGGCACATGCAAAGGATCAGATTAACATTTTCAGTACAGTTCTACTTTTGCCCAGTCTTTACTTCAAATGGGTTATTTCTATTTTCTCATCCTTCGTTGCAAATCTTTCTGCGAAATTTCTCATCTTTTATAGTTTCTGTCTGCAAGACTCATTCCCTAGTAACTATAAGTCCAGAATGCATTTTCGCTGCGTGCATCCAAATGAGGTTGAATTTTCTACAGAGATACGAAAATCTCAGTCCTCTGGCAATGGCTGTGGTATATTTTCGAAAAGGTGGCGAAGGAAAGCATTTTAGTTTAAAAAAGAAGGGATGGCAAGGGGTCTGATGGAGAATAAACATACCTACACAAAATAAAAATTATCGAATTTAATTACCTAATTTTTTTATCTAATTTTAACAATTAGATATCTAAAAAGAAATAAATAGATTAGATAATATCAAATAACAACCGTAATTATGGAAAATCTATCTTTAAGACCTGAGACCTTCATTAAGTTGATTTATGTCATAGAATATAACAACCAGTAATTTTGAACAAAATAAATTCAAGCATGGGAAACAGAAAGAGCAAGACAGTTGCTGGTTTCTAATTATTTCCCATGGAACCAGCTATCTCTCTTTGAGGCACATTCTTGTGTTGTGTCACAATGAATTACAAATGAAATTAGTTATAAACAAGCAGCTTTAATTAAACATGACAAGTTTCTTTCTTGCCTTCAATATGCATTTCATGGTTCACAAGTTGTGATAAAGTAATTATTCGGAGAGGAATCCCCAAGGATTTTTGGGAAGAAACAAACTTTTTGGACACTTCTTCCATCATTGGTCGGGACTTTGGTAGCGGATTTAAGCATGCCAATGCCAGTGTAGCGGCCTGAACAATATTCTGTGCAACCAGTTGGCTTGTTGGGGGTGGTAGACGTTTGTCTAACACATCAATTAGCTTGGTATTTTGCAAAGAAGATGGTGATGACAAGAGATCTCCAGGATGCTTTCCCATTAATGTTTCCAACGCCAAAATTCCAAAGCTATACACATCACATTTTTCGGTCACAACCATTGTGTAGGCAACTTCTGCATACACAAATTATATGCATGAAAAATTATAAAATAACAGAAAATAATAAAAAATTAATTCACAATAATGTTTTACTTATTATTTACAATTAATTACGATTGAATATTTAATACTATAGTCCAAAAAATTTTCATCCCTTTAATCTTAGATGCTTCATATACTTTTTGAAGATGTGCTTACAAATTAATTTTTCTTAATTATATGGCTAGAAAATTAGAGCTAGATTATATAATTTTTTAATAATTAATTAATGGTTTGTTTTAATTGATGATTAAATATTTAACCTATCCAATTTTCTAGTGATGTAACTAATCAAGCAATAATTACTTCTTTTTATGATGTTACATATATCACGGTCATAATCAAATAAATCTGTTTGATTATATTATTGGTAAAAGAGTTTGAGAATTTCTTTGTTAAATTGCCTTATGGTTTTTATATTTAAAATTGCATTTTAGAAGTAAAATTTATTATATATTAATGTTGTTCATGAAAATATATAGTTATTAGATGTTTATTAAATGAGGATTAATAATCATGATCCACAAACTTAACATACTACTTATTAATGTAAGCATAACAATTAATTACTCTTAATTATTTGTTCAACTGTAAATTTATTTTGAAGCCAATAAAGTAGTATAAAATGAAAAAAAAAATACCTGGGGCTATATAGCCATATGTACCAGCAAGAACAGTCAGATTGGATGAATCAAGATGTAGCATTCTAGCGGTTCCAAAATCAGCCACAAAGGCCTCCAAGCTTGAGTTTAGCAGAATATTGTTACTTGAAATGTCTCGATGAACAATTGGAGGGGTGCAATCATGATGCAAGTAAGACAAGGCATGAGCAACGGATTTGATGATCTCAACTCTTTTTATCCAATTCAACTCTACAGCTTCATCATCATTACTTAGGACCCAGAACAAGCTTCCTCTTTCCATGTATTCATATATCAGAAACATGCACCGCCGGTGTAGACAATATCCATGAAGCTTCACAATATTTCGATGTCGAATTTCAGACAAAATTTTCACCTCATTCCTGAAACTCTTGTCGAAACCCGGATCCTCAGCTTCAAGGCGATGAAGTTTTTTTAAAGCAACTATTTTACCACAAGGTAGTTGTGCTTTGTAAACACTTCCATAACCCCCAGTTCCAATGCAGTATCGAATATCAAAATCTTCTGTTGCTGCAATAATGTCTTCATATGCTATCTTCCCATCGTAGTTCCATATTGAGCAGCACAAATCCCCATTTTTTGTTGTTAGTGGGCCAACTTGGTTTTTCTTAGCCTTAAACCGAGACAATAACAGACACCCCAGAATAAGAAAAACAGAGGATATGACAATGGGGAGGGCTATTTTCATGTAGTAAGGAGTTCGACCGCTCTTGGTCTGTGGGGGACAGGCGTAGTGTGATAAATCCTTATTGCCATCAAACGCCTTGTCATTTATAAAGTAACAATCGCCATCACCTTTATAAGTAATCAAGGAATTGTTTGTCAACTTAGCAATATACAAAGGAACAATACCCGAGAGGTTATTGTAACTGACATCCAGTGTTGACAAATTTTTGCAATTACCAAGTTGAACCGGTATGGATCCACTCAATTTGTTTTGGGAGAGGTACAAGACCTTGAGTGCTTCTAAATTCCCAATTTCTTTTGGTATAGGACCTTCTAAAAGATTTGAATCAAGGTACAATGCTTTCAGTTTTGATAAATTACAAATAGAAGAAGGGATTGAACCACTCAATTTGTTTTGGGAGAGGTGCAAGACCCTGAGTGCTTCTAAATTACCAATTTCTTTTGGTACAGGACCTTCCAGAAGATTTGAACCAAGGGACATCGCCTGCAATTTTGATAAATTACCAATAGAAGAAGGGATTGGGCCAGTAAGGTTGTTAGCTCCAAAATATAAATATTTGAGGTTGTTAAGCTTTCCTATTTCTGAAGGAATGGAACCATTGATTTCATTTTCTAAAAGGTAAACTATTTCCAATTTTGTTAAACGACATAAAGCTAGAGGAATAAGACCAGTAAATCTATTATCATAGATGCTTAAAACTCTGAGGTTCTTCAAATTTTCAACATTTGGAGGTATGGAGCCTTCAAGTTGGTTACTATGAAGGTACAAAGTTGCCAAATTGGTTAATTGATACAGAGTAAAAGGTATTAAACCAACAAGCATGTTGCCCGAGAAATCCAAATCAATCAAATTTGTCAGATATCCAATTTCTGATGGAATAGATCCATCAATATTGTTGACCCTGAGAAGCAGAGATTTGAGATTGGTTAATTGACCCAAATCAAAAGGGATTACACCAGCAAACTGATTCCAACTCAAATTTAAACTAACCAGGTTTTTCAAATTCCCTAGTTGTGGAGGGATGGAACCATTAATGTTATCATTATAAGAAATGTCAAGAAACTCTAATTGGGTTAGGTTTCCTAGGGAAGAAGGTAACTCACCAGATAACCCACAATAGGACAAGTTAAGGTACTTCAGTGCGGATAGACCACCTATCTGAGGCGGGATATTTCCACCAAGTTTCCGATCGCTAAGATTAAGAAGGACAAGATTTGGAAATGAAGAGAAATTCAATTTTCCAAATCTATCACCAACCTGAATCACGTTAGCAGATGGGTTAATTTCGGTGATGCTTCCTGCATTGTTGCATGAAATACCGTGCCAGTTGCAACGTTGAGAAATATTGTTGCTATAGCTACTCCACCAGCCACTCTCTAGCAAAGCCACAGCTTCTGATTCGAGTGAAGATACTGCTGCTAACAGGGTTGTAGCAAAGGAAAGAAGGATGGCACTCCACAACACCCCTAGAAAAATGGAATTGGTTAAGGATGAGGCCATGTCTATTTAGCTTGAATATCTGGTAAAGGTTCAGTTGTAGCATGTTATGATTTCCAGAGACTAATGAATTTATATGAAGATGGAGTAGTCGAGGTCTTCTTCTACTTTTTGTTAGTCAATTGTTGTCATTGATTGTTCAGTAGATGTCATGGAATTATAAATACGAATAATGCATTTTCCCAGCAATAGGGTGCATAGACTTGCAATACCGTGTTTAGATGACTTGAAGAAGACAAGTATCTTTCCCCGTTGCTAGCTAATCTTTAAAGTATCTTTACCAATCTAAAAGACTCAATCCTCTCTTTGATTTTAATACTTCAACAGTTCTTTGTTTTCTATTGTTTTCAGCCATAAATTAAAGTTTATATATATAATTAAGATGCAATTTATATTAAAAATGATTTTTTATAAAAATTATACTAAATTAAATCTTGAATCAATCGAATCAAATGCAAGTTACACATATTTTTCAAGTTGAGATTGAATGTCAAAAATAATAACAACATATCAAGATAGAGTATATTCAAGTAAAACAATTAAAATATCAAATCAGATTCAGCGTGAGAAAATGCATCCATCTCATCCCATTGCTATTCCTAATTTTTAAGGCATGCTACTCTTTTATTTCTTTCATTCATTCTTTTTTTTTTTTTCTCCTTACCAAGGAAGCAAAAACATGTACCTGTAACAGCCACATTTTTCATATGTTTTCCATTGAACAGGAGTACATGTTCATTGACTAGTATTCATTTCAAATGGAAAAGAAAACACGTTGGATCAAATTGGAGAATTTCCGTCTTCCATAGCAGCCAAGTAAACAAGATCATTTCACACATTGTAGCATTGTGTTCAGACGAGTGCAAGAAACAGCCACATTTTTCATGTTTTCTATCTCTAAAAGCTAACAGTAAATTAGAAAAGGATCCAATGTGGACTAGCTTTTGCTTGGATGTTAACTTAAAGTCTCCTTTTCTAACTGATTAATAATATTATTGCAAAGAAAGTTCAAAGAAAGGACAATATGTACTTGCGCTTTCTTCTCCACCATACAATTTCTTCAATTTGCATGTATTTTTTTATAGCTGGAATGTTACCAATTTCATTCTATGTACAATAAGCTGTTGGTAAATTCCACAGATAAAATGTTATGTAAAAACCGAAAATTTTATCTTTCAAAATGTTTTAGACATTGTTTCTATTAATTGTCCTCTTTTTTGGATAATTGAAAATTGTATTAAAATTTAAAAAAACAAAAAAGTGGATTTTATTCTGCTACATGAAAACATTAAGAGTTCAAGTCTTACCCAAACTAAACAAAATAAAAGAATAATAATAAAAATTAGCCAATTTTCAGAGTCAAAGTCTTTTCTATCTTTCATTGAAGTGTTTTATCTTTCAAATGAGACAAGCCCATGCAAAGGATCATAGTAAATGTGATGACTTCTAAGCTTTGAAATGTTCTATATTCTACGAATAAGTGATAATACAAACTCCTTCTCAGTAATAGCAAATCTTACGTGTCTTTCACGTCCATTGACTTGCAATGGAAAATAGAATCCATTGAACCAAATTGGAGAATTTTTTCGTTGATGGTATAGACAAAGAACAATATTTATTTAATTTTTCTCTTAAAAAAAATTATTTTTCCTGTATTTTGGTGCATGTTCTTCTGCGCTTCCTAACCTTTTATTTTTCCTACTTCTAGACTTTAGAAAGAAAGAAAACTGATTACTAAAGGTCTCGCCTTTCATGTTTTCTATACATTAATTGCAAAGAAAATTCTAAGATTTCTACCTTATCCAATTCTCTGCTTTGAATCTCACTTCCTCTCCATAGGTAGAAAATTTTATGATGGGAATTCAACCTAAAATTAACTAATAATAAGAGGATGGATAATTTATTTTAACAATTCTCTATTATACCTTAGCTTTAATTGATTTAAAATTAATTATTATAATCATGGAAAAAAGTTTTTTGATAATACCATTTAAACCATCTTGATAGAAATGCTTATGGTCTTGGTATAATATAGTCCAAACTCCTGAAAATTGAAAATTTATTTTATGATACTACAATATTGCCAAACGCAATGAATAATGACAAAGAGGCAAGAAAAAATGCACAAAAAAAAAAAAAGCGTGAAGAAACAAATAATTCTTTTCAATTTAAAATTGAAGCTCATCATTCATGTTTATGCTCTTACACAATTATGGTAAGTCAATGATGATGTTGAAATAATATAGAACAAACTTTTGAAAATTGAAATCTTTGATTTTATGATACTAAAATATTAGTAATCACAATGAATGATAGTTAAAAGGGAAAAAATGCAGAAAGAAACAACAAATTCTTTCCAATTTAAAATTGAAGCTCAACATGAGATCTAAGATGGCAAAACAATCGAACCCTAATTGCCAGCATGCATGCTGTGAAGAATATGATTCATTTGCACCCTTTTCTTTCCACATTTATTTCAGGATCCATGAGTTGCAACAATGAAATTTCTCCAAGAGGCTTTGCTAGATGCCTTGACTGACAAAAAAACTCATTGGAGACCTGTCTCATGGTTGGTCATGACTTTGGTTCTATAGATAAGCATGCGAATGCCAGTATTGCAATAAGAACAATATCTTTGACAACTGTATAACTTGTTGGAGGTGATAGACGAGGGTCTAATACATCATTTAACACTATGTTTTCCAAAAGGAGCTTTGATGGCAACAATGATAAAGAGGTCTTTGGGATGCCTTCCAATCAACACTTCCAATGCCAATACTCCAAAACTATAAACATCACATTTTCAGTTACTTCCGTCGTATAAGCAAGCTCTGCCAAACAAGAAAAAAGTGAAAAAGGATATGTAGAGCAACAACAAAACAAGGAAATTGAAATAATATTTCTCCAACTACAACAACCTAAAGATTCCTCCAAATGTTTTACATATTTAGTGATATGTCTCAAACCACACATACCGTTCTCATTAAAACCATCAACACCATCCCATCTTCTCCCGTATTCTCTTTGACACCATCAAAATCAACATGTTTTACAGAATCCACAAGATACTTCCCCTTCCTACTTCTTTTCCTTCTTGAACCACGCATTCCACAATCCTCCCCATCATCATCCCCATTTTCAACAACAGACGAAAAAGGTCTCACATTAGCATCTACATATTTCCTAAATTTACCAACTAAACCAACCAAATTCGTTGAAAACTCTCATTTGGGCACATCCAAAAATGGCACAAAAGGGTCTTTATCCAAAACCCAGTTTTCTAATTGTCTAAAAGAATGAAATTATCGAAAGGATAACATAAACTTAACTCTACAAACATTGCACTTAGATGTATAGATTCTAAACAGAAACGTTGCCAAGCCTCTTCCCATTTAATACCCACATAAAAGAGTAAAAACCCAACCTCCTAAGTTAATCGAACTTTGAAATTGCAAAAGTTTTTTTTTTTTTTGGCCACAGAAATTGCAATAAGTTAAAAGGTGTTAAAATGTGACAATAGAAAAGGAGACTAAAGAAACAAGAAAATGGGGATTTGATGGAGCTTACCTGGAGAGGATTGAGAGACAGAGTGAGAGAGAGGAAATGGAGGGAAAATCCAGAGTCACCGGAAACCATAAATCCAGAGTCAGTTTGGATTAATTACCGAGGAACTGAAGACGTTAGGAACTCGGGGTGCTAGACTCACTCAGATTTGAGTCGTGACTCGAAATTTAATGGGTTTTGCAGCCTTTGCGTTGGCCCAATTGTCTTGATAGTCGGTTATGATTTATGAAGCCCGCATGATTTCTGTTTATATATGTTATAAAAATAATAAATCAATTTACTAGTGCTGAGAGAATCTTATTAGATATATCAATTTTAAATATAATATAATGATTAATATAATTTAATAAAAATAAAATTTTTATAATTTAAAATTTAATAAAAATATTTATAAGTTTGACAAAAATAATAAATAAAATATTTTATATTTAATATGTCAATAAAAATTACAACACAATAATTTTTGTGTTTTATACAGGTTAAATACAAAACAAACATGACAAGATGCACAAACTCTCAGATCTAATTTCATGTTTATAATTAACAACGTGTTTGCCATATATACCCACAAGTTTAATAAAATGGAGATTATCAAGAATCAAACGATTATAATGAAGATATGAACTGATAACATTTGTGTTCAACAGCTCCTCTCTTTGTCATATATTCCCACAAGTTTAATAATCCTGCTTCATAAAACATGGGAAATTGAAAAATTATGGGAGTTTCAACATAGGCCTGTTGTCAACTGCAAGGATGATATCACCAAGTATAATATTACTAGCGAAACCTCTGCTGGAGGGGAGTAGCCCAGCCTTGGCTGCAAAACTGTTACTAGGAACCTAAAGTAACATGTAGTAAATGTAAGAAAGTTTTAAATATTCTACAAGCAACAGCTTATTGACAGAATAAAATCTCTTAGTTATTGAAAAGATGGTTGCGCTTTAAAAGTTCGAACTAAATTTGGAATACCTGAAGGATAAGGGACCCTTTTCGAACATTAAGTTGATTAGCAATCAGCTCAGGAGCAATTTCAATATTCAACCTGCTCGAAGAACCTGACAGTGGATGAACAATGAAATATGAAGTAGTAGAGCTTGTTCCTTCAGGGTAATATTAAGTTAAAATTGTTCAGATGCTCAACTCTTAGTAATAACACCCATCCTTTTATCCCCAAATATTGCAACATTATGATTGTAGTGATGGTTAAAATGCAGAGAAGGTGAAAGTAAAAGGTCTTTATTGGGAAGAAGAGGCAAAAAGGGGATAGCAAAGATCAGAAAATAAGAGGAGACCAAGAACTTGACCTTAGATTTATAAATAGTAATGAAACTTACTTTGCCAAACTGGATCAGCTGAGGAACAATCTTCAGCACTGTGGAGAACGGGATGGCAAATCCTACACCTGCAGATGCACCTGAAATGCAAATAACAAAATCAGAATGCATTACACAGGAAGCAGCTAGCTTTTATTACTACTATTATTTTTGGCCAAGGGAAACATCGAATCATGAAATATCTTCTCATCGAGATAGAATCAATATTCCATAACTATTTTGTTTCAGATTATGGCACATGACATATGCAACAAAAAGACGGAATGTAAAATGACCTGTCTGTGTGAATATAGCTGTATTAATCCTAATTAGGTTTACTTTTGAATCCAACAGAGGACCTCCACTGCAACAAATAAAGAAAGCCAATAAATAGCAAGCAGTGAGGAACTTGTTTAAAGAAATTAACTTTAAAATTT